GCAGCCACAACAAACACTCATGGCAACATAAATCAGAAGCTCAGCCAAGTAATGTGGACAAGAGACCAGCTCAAACCAGCCCCCGCATGGCATCTTGTGGGCCAGGGTCTCTACTTTACCTATATTGGATAGAGGGAACAAAGATTTAATATTAGTTTATAAATAATACATGTTATAAGAAGAATTAGTTCAAACTTTTTTTCTCAAGGAAACTCCAGCGGTTTTGTACCTGAGCTGTCAGTCCTCATCTTGGCCAGCAGTGAGAGGGACCGGTTCTGGAGGAATGATGCCCAGATGAAAAGAAGAGTCCCGATTACATGATGCCATGTGAACTGATCAAAGAGAGACCCTGGCATTGCAGAGACAAATACACAAATAATTAGATAGTCAAATTCAGGAAAACGTCAAGATACATTTGGGCTGATAAAATACTTAAATATTTTTGGTCAGGTTAACATGAATTAGATATTGAGTTTTCAATTTGGAAGTGCATTTTAGCTATAAATAAATAAATACAAAATATGACAAAATGATGACAGGATCGGATCTAGGAAACTGTACTAACCTGACTGTGGCAGAGAGGCATTTATAGACAGGACAGTTAGACCAAGCAGGACATAGTAACCCAAACCAAATGCATATTGAACTACATGGATCACACCATTAGAAAATACGCTGACAAACAGGCACTCCAGTAGCCGTCTTAATGAATGGACCCATAGTAGCACTTGTAAAAGCAGAATGGAGAGATGTAACTCTGAAAAGCACACATAATTAAACATGTGAATATTTATTGGAAGGTAAATGTAAAGTATATTGCAACAAATTAAAGCAGAAAAATATAAAAAAATGTAAAGTAAAAAAAATACAGGATCTCCCTTAAACAGTGTATATACAGAGCATTCAGAATTTTCCTGATTTGGTAACTATTTTCACGGTTTTACTATAGTAACGAACCGGTTGCCATTGTTTAAAAAAGAAAGATGAAGTGGGAGGGGAAAACATTCTTTGCTATTCGAAGTAGCCTACAGTACCTTTCCAAGCAACTCTTGGTCTGCCAGTCAAACACCAAAGCGCGTCTATTAGCCAATCAGGGAGAGCCTCATTCATGACGACAGAACGTATGGAGAATAGTAGGAGGAGCCCATTCCACATGACAGACGCCGCGTAGAAATGATAGAAACACCTAAAGACAACATCAGAGAAAATGTTTCCTGCATAATCGCCTTGAGTCTTGACATGCTGAAAACATGATATCTGGGGAATACACAGAGTCATTTAAAACTACATTTAATCCCGAATCACCTCTTTGATACGTCAAAAACAAGCTGCCAGTTTGGGCGCTTGATGTCTTCTTTAGTTTTTCCATATCGGATTAAATCCTGAAACACGTGCTCGAGGCTGCGAGGCAGTTTCAGGGAAAATTTACAGAGAAAAAAGGCTGTTATAAAACACAGCGCTAGCAAAAACCATATAACATTAACTATTGCTATAGTGTCGAGCATCGCCGCAGCGTCCTGTCGTGTAAAGACACCGAGTGAAACAAATACTGGATATTTTGGTTCCACTCACTCAACACCGCTTCATGTTCAGGTAATATGTGCCGCGATAAAACCCACAAAGAAGAAACACTTCTGCATGTCTCTATATATACACAAAATCTCTTCAAAATATGCAGCTATATGTATCAATGAATACGAATGTTTAATTAAAACGAGCTTTCGCTTAATTATTCCTCACTGTTGTCATACAAACGTGGAGAAACAGCTATCACAACGCCACTGATAGCAAAAACATTGCATGGTACCATATGTTTCTAAACTATTTGTCAAAATGTACAGCGGTGTGTATAAGTGTGTATAAGCAGCAGTGATCTGAAGCCGGACTCTGTGCTAACAGCACACATTAGGGGAAACCCTTTTGGGTCGGAATATGAACCATTCATTTGTATTGACTGATTTGAACAAGTGAATCAGAGCCCATTCAAACCTTCATTGTAGACATCTTTAAAATGTAGTTTCAAAACCGCAATTTGCAGTTCTACCTATGAACACAGGGGGGCAGCAGGGATAATATGTTGTAAGTAATTTTACAGAAATTCATTGGTTCACTGGATTGGTTCAACTGGTTGAGGATGTTTTGCATTGACTCATAATAGTCTGTACACATGACTATAGGAGAGAGTGGGCTAAATTGCCGCACTATATGTATGTATGTATGTATGTGTGTGTGTACTGGTTTATATATCCTGGTGGGGACTTAAACCTGAATACACTCTAATTATTGTAATTCAGCATACAACAATTAAAAAATATATATTTGACCCTTAATGGGGTTCTGATTTAGTAGTAAAAATAAATAACATTTTAATAGATGTTATTTCTTAAATAGAAATATATTAATAGCTGAATTAGCTGAAAAATACATAAAAAAACCTGTCAACTTGAGATTTGAATCTGTGGCGGAAGGAAGTACTTCTGCACTTGAGGAACTTTTAAAGACACTCTGTTGTTTTTTTATTTACACACTTGTGCCGTCAAACTGTTGTATGAAAACAATATCACACTCGTAGCTGTGCAACATGGCTCTATATCAGCACGGTTGTGATTACCTACGGTACTCGGCCTGTGGCCTTGTGGATTTAAAATGTGTTTTTGAAGTTAATATTTCACTCATTATCTTTTACTATTAATGGGATTCTGATTTATAACAGGAAGTAACACAATGACCAGACTAGGACAGTATGCGTTTGTCTGTTTGCCTGTACAGTTTGTCTGCCAATGGAAGGAAGCCTCATTCTTCACTTGAGCCATTAACTATACCATATGTGTTCAGTCAATAAAAGAGTGTGTGTGAAAGAGAGTAAACCAAAGCCTCTAAAGTATTTGACTCCAGGATGCCTCATAGAAAAGGCAGGTTTCCTATCTGAGGATGTGTGCAGTGTTTCCTGCCCCCTCCCGACTCTTCCTCACTGTCCCCAGTGCTGGACCCTCATTAAGCTCCCCTCTGACATGCTTATTGTCACTCTTCTTCTCTTTCCATCCTTTTATCCCACTGCTCATCCATCGACACTGCTTCTCCACCCATTTCACAATGGCCCCCTTGCATCTTCCGCTTTGCATTCCCCAAACACACACACACTAACCCCATTTCTTACAATACCTTGGACACTTATCTGCACAGGTACTTTTAAAAACCACCTTGTCTATACTATATTATTTAGTATTCCTATAATTAAGCCTCCCGTTACATATGCACAACATTTCACTGATCCACGATTACAGTTAACAGCAGTGGCATAATGGGGAAATGTAAGGTTGCCATAACTGTAAATGTTTAGTCACTCTACTCAAGAAATTGTGTAACCACTGTAAACAACCATCAGTTGACCCAAGGCCTGATATCGTCCATCACTTGTACACAAGGCCTTAGTGCATTGTTTGCCTGGAGATGTCCTGTGTCATATGGCTTAGGCTTACTGTTACACAACAAAAGATACACCCTCCCCTTCCCAGTTTTATCCTTTGGATCCACCCATATTCCACTGGCAGCTTCTCTGGGACATTCTATCTCAGCTTGCTGGAAAAACAAGGGAGGTTACCATTACTCCGCCAACCTCCTTACCTCCAGAGAGGGAGGGGGAAATAAATACTATTAATGACTGTAGTGCTGTAACACTTTAAAGTACAGGAAACATGGCCACCCAAATTGTTTACAGACAATGGAATAGTCAAAGTGTCTTCTTCTGCTAAATTAATCTGCCATAATGTAGCATTTTTATATGTTACTCAGAAGGTGGTCCAGAGAAGTCCATATATTCAGTTGTAAAGACACAGTTTTGTACAATAATGGAATTTATCCAAATTAAACTGAAAAAAAAAACTCACGCTCATCTCAAAAAGTGCATTAGATTCAAGTATCATTTCATTCTTTCTATTTTTTTGCTGAGATCTGTGAAAATATCAGTTTTTAAAAGCATTTAAAACGATTTCTGAAATCAATTTCTGTCATTTGTTAGGTTGCAACCACAATTTTCGCCCCTATAATTTTAAAAGACATTTAAATTTAAAAAAATTATAATTTTACCATTTATAATTTACTAAAATAAAGCAATAATGAAACTGAACTTAAATCGACCTAGCTGCATACTGCATATAGTTACCTCCTTTAGCTAAACGTTCCTTTGCAAATGTCCATAACGCTCCCGTGGCGATTCGTAACTATTTTACGTTTTGGCAAATTGGTGGCGAAATTTGAATGAATTAATAAGATCTTTCGTTTCCTGCAAACTGTTTACGCCCCACTGAGTGTTACAGGTTTTATCAAACTGTACGAATTCATACAAAATCGCCAACTCGTAACATAATTAGGTTTTTTCATGAGATCGGGTTGTTGGCTTTTTAACGCATTTTTTTGTTAGTTTTTTTGTTAAGTGCTCAACAAAATGATAAACAAGGTTAGATGATCCTTCTGTCAAATCTAATGTTCTGCCATGCTAAGAAAGATATATTATGTTTAATTGTGATTTTTAATTCGGAATCCAACATGCTACGCATAGCTACATTTTACAATTAAAATAGGAATTGATTAAACCAATAAAAAATAATTTTCATATTCCTTTACACTTTCAGTACTGTTCTTAAAAAAAAAATACTACTTTTAAGACTCAACCCAACTTTCTTAGCTATGGGGTCACCATGACCCCTTACCCACCATGATTTTCACCCGCATTTAGGGCAGTCTGTTAAGTGGAAATTGTTCATTTTTCATATCTTCAATTCTTGATTGAATTAGGTGCCTATCGAAATTGATCTCAGATAAAGTGATTTAGACTGTTCTGTTTAGTCCTGGAGGTCTATATTCTTCAGACCTTCGGCCTCTAGAGTCTAGACATTAAATGAACAGTAGCCTAATGTCTTTGATTAGTAAATCTGTTGCACTCCTCCCTCGCTCGCCTTCCTCTCTGTCAGCGCACTTCAGTCACGCGTCGGTCAGTGAGCGCGCAACAGGTCTCTATCAGTCAAACTCAGAAGAGCGCAAGGTTTTATGTCCCTATAGTCTATTCGTCTCTGCAAGGTTAAGGATTTAAAAACAAAACAAAACGCACCTTAAAGAGGACAACTGTGTCGTATTATCGTGATGAGGAGTTAAAGTACTTCTGACTTTTGGTTTCATGCCGGGACGGTCCAGCGTAACGGACTATGGCAAAGACATCTTATGTGCTTTCTCTCGTCGACATCCTCTTTACCATTAACTTGGTTATAGGTATGACATAAACGTCTCTAAATATGCCAAATATACTCTAATATTAAATATTCAAATGCTCACATCATCATTTTCTTTCTTATCATAATAGGCAACTCAACTTAATTGGTGATTGATCGCACTGTTGATGCTTCTGAGTTTCAGCTCCTAATGTTATCCGCATTGTAACAGCTTTATTAAAATATTTCTTTGTGAAAACTGTACACCTGTTAGGCCTACTGATTTGAAACAAGTGTAGTTATGATTTTTCCCTTCTCACTTTGTCCTTTTATCTCTCTCTCTCTCTCTCTCTCTCTCTCTCTCTCTCTCTCTCTCTCTCTCTGTGTGTGTGTGTGTGTGTATATATATATATATATATACTGATTAATTTAAGGAGAAATAATTGTTACAAATTATACGATAGAATAGTATTATTAGCATTTTTGTTATTTGAATAAAAAGTATTTGTCGCATAATACATTTTATAATAGAAGCATTCTCCAAAATACCTGGACAAACTATAACATTTGTATAGATTGTTATTGACTGTCAGTTATGTACATATTTTATGTTGCATTTATGTAATTTTTACTAATGTAAAATGACTAATTTACTAATTTTAACTTATGTAATGTTTTTCTAATGGTGTTTTGTGTTTGTGTGGGTAAAATTGTACTCTCTCTTAATATTACTATTTGTTACAGTTGTAGGTTAGACGATGTAAGTCATCATGTAGTTTTACATAATTTAATCAATATATTGCGAGCACATTTTGTAGTAGCATGTAAAGGTTAGTATATTATATTCATTGAAAACAGTTAAGTATTGTCGCTGTGCTGTTGCTTATGAAAGCTTTAGTATCCAGAGCTTAAATTTATAAACCAAATTTAAAAGCTTGATTTGATAAATTTAACATAAATGTATAGTAGAGAGCTGTTTCAGTATAAAATTCGGAAATGTAGCCTATTTGTTGATTGATTTTGAATTTCAACATGGTATTCACAACTCTTTGCTGTAAGCATTATATAACAACTGCATTAATCAATGTCACTGCTAAAATGAAACTTATTCAAATTAAAAGCATAGTTTCAAGATTTCAGAGAGATGTTTGCTTTTAGAAGTTAAAAATAAACCTTCTATTCTTTCTTGCCCTTATCTTGTAATTCCCTCAGTTCACTCTTATTCATCAGATACAATCAAGCCCTCGCCACCATTGTTGTTTCAAATGCTTTCAGTGCCTGGCAATTTAAATGTTAAAACAAACAGTTGAATAAGTTAGTCTCCATGGAGTGCATGTGTTTTAGCATGATTGTGTGTGCCCATAAGAGTGTGTGTGTTCCCATAGTTCCTCTGGAGCAGGAATCCCACCTCAGGCTGTGGAGCACGGGGCCATTTAGCCCGGCCCCGGCCCATCTGACCAGGCTTCCTGTTTTGACACATCCAGGCCTCCGTGCTGCTTTTGCAGCTCCAGTGGAAAAATATGCCAGGGTCCCACATCGCACTGCTCCACAATGCAGTGTGCCATTCTGTGCTATACACGTCTGCATCCCTTGTATATCCAGTGTAAAACCAGGCCAGGCTATGGACAAGCATTCATGGTCCCACCACTCTTGTGCTTTCCCAGTAGACTGTGTGAATCCATGCTCATGCTAAGAGACAAAGCAGTAGTTTGACCGTTTGTTTGAGTGGTAGAGCAGCACAGTCTTTCTTTTAACTGCGCATACCTTTTTTGAACATAAATTGTTGTGGTTTGTTGATCATGCCGTATATAACCTGAAGGTTGAGCTAAAGCTGTAGAAATGGCGACACATAGTCTCTTTACATGTGTGGCAAATGCACTTGCATATATATTAAAAAAGAAAAGGGAGCTGTTTTCAGATGAAGTTGGAGATAAAGAGAAGTTTAGGATTGAACTAAAGTATTCTGGGCTTAAAGTTAACCATGTTAGGGAAATCATGGAAAGGTGCATGTTGTACCTCTTTAAGCTTATTTTGTCTTGAGGTTGATTTGATGTATTACAGCCATATTTGCAGTGGTTTATTACGCTGAAGATGGCGGTCCTACTGTCTAGTGTTTAGTTTTAATGTGAAATATTGCGATATGTTGTGTAAATTCCAATTTACAATGGATGTTTTGTGCCTTTCTTGGTTTAAGTTGGTTTATTTTTACAAGATAAAAAGCAGCAATCTTATAATATATGTTTCTTTATTTTATTTTATAAGATTATTTTTCATCTAAAATACAAACAAAAATGGTAACACTATTTTAAAGTGACATAATTACGCTAGTTACACATACTCACTTTAGTAATAACAGTTAGTTATGCATAATTAGCATACATCTGCATGACTACATTTAAACCTAAACATAACCATATGTACATGTAGTTAATTAATATTACTCAGCACTTCCTGAAAAAAATATCCAAATGGAAAAAAAAAACTGTTTCAACCAGAAATAAGTTATTTGCACTTGTAATAAATGGCACATATGAAATTAATCTAAAGCCAGAATAAGAGTTATGTCCTCATTAAAATCACTCAGTGAGTATTCATGTCAATATCAACAGCTTTTCTGATCAAAACCTTCTGGGTGTTTTTTTTTCTTTTTCTTGCAGGGATAGAGCTCAGGTTTGTGCCTGATCCTCCAACCTTAAACACCACTGAGAAGACTCTCAAAATCAATGCTTCAGATACACTGGAGATCACGTGCAGGTAAGCTTTGCTTCTGAAGAAGAGCAGTTCTGTCTTCAAATGTACATTCATTTTCATTCTGAAGCTACTTTTCATCAGAAGGGTGATGTCTTTGTTACAGATTTAATTTTTATGGTAAAAACAGAAACTAAACAATGTCAGCTAAACGTTGTCAGTTTACTCTGCTGACTGTCTTTTCAACCGGTTACACAGCGGGCGTCAGATCTTGGAATGGTCTACGCCTCACAACCGAACCCGTTCTGAAACCCGGCTCATCAAAACAGACTGTAGTGGCAATGGATTGTTCTGTAGCACTTTAACGCTCTCCAAAGCAGTAGCCAATGAGACTGGAGAGTATCGCTGCTTCTATAAAAACCTGCCTATAGAGGATGGAAAGACTTCTATTTCTTTGTATGTCTTCATACAAGGTATGATTTTCGAGTGTAATTTTGTTTTCAACAAATAGTTGAACACGTTTTTCATAACTTTCTGACCCTGTCTCCCACTATCTTCCGAAGAAAGTGGGAGCGAGAGTTGGAATGTTACAAAAATGTGTTTATTGCATACTTCCTCTGTTATCCTTCGGGATAACCTCTTGACATCTTCAAACTTTATAACCTCTTCATTCTGGTGGAGCCACCACATTTTACTTCCCTTTTCAACCATAGCTGTAAACTCCTGCCTTGTCCAGACAGACAAAATAAAGGAAATGGGTTGTTTTAAGTGTGATTTGAAGTGTGAACTTACTTTTTTCCATACCTATGAAACTTGACTATCTAATATAACAATTTGTAAGTACTGTCGTATCTCTCATGTAATCTGAATAGTGTATTTAGTGTTAAGTCAAATTATACAATACATGCCTATGTTTTTAGATTGCCATACACCATTTGTACGAATGGCTCAAGATTATGATGTGGTGTTCATTCGGGAGGGAGAACAGGTGGTCATTCCCTGTCTGGTATCTGTGGAGAACCTAAACGTCACACTCTACACAGTGAGTGTTTATAAATACACATTCTCCTGCCCTATTTGGTAACCTGCAAATGTTACCTTCTATTTCTAAGAAGCTATTTCTATTTGATCTAAACTATATTTTTGACTTAAATAAAACCAATTAGTTTAGATGTTGTTATGCTGTTTGCATAACTTTGAGTGAGTTCTCTGTATCAGCAAACTACACTACTGTTCAATTTCTTTATGTTTTTGAAAGAAGTCCATTATGTCTCACTAAGGCTGCATTTATTTTATGACAAAAAAAATACAGTAAAAACAGAAATATTGTGAAATAATATTACAATTTTAATTACGACTTTTCTATTTGAATATATTTTAAAATGTAATTTATTCCTGTGATGGCAAAGCTGAATTTTCAGTAACCGTTATGCCAGTCTTCAGTGTCACATGATCCTTCAGAAATCATTCTAATATGCTGATTTGCTGCTCAATAAACATTTCTTCTTTTTATTATTATTATTATTATTAATGTTGAAAATAGTTGTGCTGCTTAATATTTTTGTGGAAATTGTAATATACTTTTTTTAGGATTCTTTGATTTAGAGAAATCATTTGTAACATTTTAAATGTCTTTACTTTCCTTTTTGATCAATTGAATTCATCCTTACTGAATAAAAGTATAAGTTTCTTTCAAAAAAAATATTAATGGACAGTATGTATTTACTTTTTTTTTTGACTACATATCCGTAATAAATGTGACTATATGAAAAGATGTGACTATAAAGTATTAAACTAATATTTTAACGTTTACTCGTCAAGATCCCTGTGTTGTGTTGTGATTCGCCGCTGATGATATAATGTGAACAATGTGTTTATGGTGTTTGCCTTCAACAGAAGTATCCAGTAAAAGAACTGGCCACTGATGGGAAAGACGTCATCTGGGATAGCAAGAGGGGCTTCATCCTGCCTAGTCATGTGGTCAGCTATGCTGGGGTGGTCTACTGCCAAACCACTATTCGAAATGAGACCTATCAGTCCTCACCTTACATTGTGGCTGTCGTAGGTAAGCAAAAAAAAAGACAAAAAGTTTATTTGGAAATGTGAGTGTTGAATGCATTAAGTTCTGTAATTAAGAAATATGATATGACCATGTTTTCTGCATCTGACTTATTATTTATTTCAGTTCTGCAAGCATGTCAGAAATGATAAAACTATTTTTGAGGAGGCAAGATTGCATTTTTTGAGACTATAGAACAATCTGGTGTGAGATCAGCTGCCCTGGTCTCAAGAGAACAATGCTCCACCCGGCACGTCCCTTACTCCCCTTCCCTCTTCCGCAGGATACAAGATCCATGACCTCACCCTGAGTCCAGCTCATGAGAGGCTAACGGTAGGGGAGAGGCTAATGCTAAACTGCACCGCTCACACCGAACTCAATGTGGGAATTGACTTTCAGTGGACCTTTCCTCATGAGAAGGTCAGTAACTTGTTCAGAAAAGTTTAGTATAAGTTAACCTCAATATTCAGCATTTGTGACATAATTACCACAGAAAAAAAAAGAAAAAAAAACTGTACTAGCCCCTGGAGTTATTTTTTTACTTGTCTCCTTCCAGTCCGGTGATGAAAAACAGCCAAAAACACAGTCTAAACAAAAACTGTCTGTTACGTCTTTATTTGATAGCAGGTGTGTGACAGCTTGCCTCTGTTAATGTATGAACCATAAATGGTGACAAATAACTAGATCTTCACCTATATAAATATTATTACAATTTAATAATAATTTTATTTGACAGTTTTAAATGACATGTTTTTCAGTTTTCTTATATTTTAAAATATAATTAATTCATGCTGTGGCAAAGCTGAATTTTCAGCAGCCATTACTCCAGTCTTCAGTGTCACATGATCTTTCAGAAATCACTCTAATATGCTGATTTGGTGCTCAAGAAACATTTCTTATTGTTATCATCAATGTTGAAAACAGTTTAAAATCTTTGTGGAAAATGTAATACATTTGTCAGGATTTTTTTTATTAAAAATGTTCAAAAGATCACAGATATATATATATATATATTATTTTATTATTTTAATGGAATACATTTCTAAATTGTAATATTTTCTAATATTTATGTGGTAAGTTAAATTTTGTAATACATGCATAACTTGTATTGACCCCAGAACATTCCTTTCTAATTTATCATCAGCTAATCTTTTCTGTGTCGATATCTGGCTGCTTAGCTATGCTGACATTTATGTTTTACTTGAGACACTTCAATCATAAACTCAGTTTGATACGTTTCATATTTTTACAATTTCATTTGATTTTATAATTTGATTCAGTCCAGTCCAGTACGGCTGATTTTGTTGGATTGCAGTTCCATAAAGAACACTGTGCATTTCTCAAGCTGGTTTTAAACCATCTGTCTCCTCTTGCAGAGAGGCATCAACAGCTCAATACCAAGGTCACGCTATGAGTCCAAATCATACAAGAAGAAGCTGTGGAACTCCTTAGAACTGTCCAATACTCTCGTTGTAGAGAATGTGACCGTAAATGACACAGGAGAGTACATCTGCACAGCCTCTAGTGGTCAGATGCAGAAGATTGCCCGAGCAGCACTCATCGTCTATAGTATGTGCTTTTTTGTCATCAACTTAAACAAAATAGAGCATTATATAATTGAAAACATCTACATTTCAGTGTGCTGGCACATCTAAGCCAGTTATAAGCTGTTATTGTACTTTCAGTGCCCTGTAGTTGGCGATATCACTTCTTAGCAGAAATAAACTGCTGCAGAAAAAGCTAGGTGTTATGCCAAATGTAATGTGTAATTGCAACGCTCATTACAAATGTAATGGAGTAAAGAGTACAGATACTTATTCAAAAATGTAGTGAAGTAAAGAGTAAAAGTTGCTAATATCTTTAGAGTAAAACTACAGAGTATCCAAAAAGATCAAGTACAGTAATTGATTACATTGACTCAAATACTTTACACCTCTGGTGTCAGAAGTGGAATTAGAGAGGAACAGAGTCAGTTATGGGAAAGTCTAAATTTAGACCGTTAATAATAGGTGCATTGTTGTTGTTGATTCAGTTTGGCGTTTTCTGTTCCTGTTGGAGATATGTAGCTAGATAGAGGTGTTTATTTCTGTCTGCACGTTCTCATTTGAGATATGGATCCTCATGTCTTTGTTAAATGTGAATATATAAAATGCTAATATATACAGTGGGTACGGAAAGTATTCAGACCCCCTTAAATTTTTCACTCTTTGTTATATTGCAGCCATTTGCTAAAATCATTTAAGTTAATTTTTTTCCCTCATTAATGTACACACAGCACCCCATATTGACAGAAAAACACAGAATTGTTGACATTTTTGCAGATTTATTAAGAAAAACTGAAATATCACATGGTCCTAAGTATTCAGACCCTTTGCTCAGTATTTAGTAGAATGATTCTCAGTTGATTAGTGTGTGATGATGGTGTGTTTGAAATGATAGTGTGTCTGTAACCATTTAGAAAATGTATAATGCTTAGTGTTTTAAAATCTGCCCCGACTTATAAAAGTAATATGATGTATTCCATACTTAAGTTTTCTGCTGAACTCTGAACTCAACTCTTTTTGTTTGACCACAATTCTCAGTCTTGAGAAAACACTTAATTTATTGTTTAGTTATGCTGAATCTCGGAAGTAAAATCAGTTTAGATCTGGGTTCCAGCAGTGGAAACAAAACCAGTGATGTCAATATAGTCTTACAGTGCTGCTGTTACTGCATGCACACAAATATTAATTAACTTTGGCAAAGTTGTAATAGGCAATTGTTACTTTAAGAATCTATGTCTACTTGATATGGCCCTTAAAATTAATTATTTATTGATATTAAATTATATTTGTTGACTTGAGTAAAACCAGTTCATTTAGATGTTATGAAAAGCACGTTAGTTAGGCTACCTGACAAAGCATTTTTACAGTGACAGTAATACTCATGCTATTCTGTTGTAAGGTGTGATTCTGAAACAGTCAAATCGTGTCTTAACCGTCCAACGGGTGAAAAAAGAGGACAGTGGTCTTTACATGTGTATGGCCTGTAACCAGCAGGGCTGTGACTCTCATGAGGCTCGTATTACTGTAGAAGGTGAGTGTGTAAACAAAGCTTTGCTTTATTTTTTTTATTTTATTTTATTGGTTTGTAGAATTAAAGAAAGGGTAGTAAGGACACAAAAAATATTTCTGTGAAGTTATGCAATACATTAATATAATTTGTTTTTGAAAAAAAATTATCTTATGCTTTCCAAGACCTTCATTTATTTGATCAAAACAATACAGTAAAAACAGTAGTATTGTGAAATACTATTACAATTAAAAAGAACTGTTTTCTATTTTAATATATTTTCAAATGTAATTTATTCGTGTGATTGCAAATCTGAATTTTCAGCAGCAATTACTCCAGTCTTCAGTGTCATATGATCCTTCACAAATCATTCTAATATGCTGATTTGGTGCTCAAGTGACATTATTATCAATGCTGAAAACAAAAGAACAGCATTTATTTAAAATATAAATATTTTGTAAATGTCTTTACTGTCACTTTTGATCAATTTAATGTGCCTTTGCTCAATATTCATTTCTAAAAAAAACAACAAAAAAAACACTGACCCCATTTGAATGGTACTGAACTTTTGAATGATAGTCTGTTACCAAAAGATGGCAGGTAGATTCATAGTAGATTGTCAGTTATGAATCGACATGCAAAACATCACATAGTAGCCACACTTTTAAAGACCCCATTTTAAGAAGAGACATTCTCTGAACATGTCATGATTGTGAGGCGAGCTCAGTCTTCCACTGACTTTTATCCTCATTGAGATTTTGTTGTAATCAAGGCCTTGTGGCAATAATAGCTCTCTTTTTAGTCTGTCAGGAAGGGGGCTCTGTTAGTGTACATCCTTTAGGGAGTGCTAAAAGAAAACAAAGCAAAATCCCAGAACAACCCTCTATATCACTCTCTGTCACATTTTTCCCAGTGACTTACATCTTTGTATGGTTCCGCCTCTTTCCTCACACACATAAAGGACAGAGAGTGCAAAGGACCACAAATAACAGAGACATACTCATTGTGTATGTGACTCATTTTTCTGCATCACTGTTTCTTGTTGTCACTGCAAAGGCGACTGTCAGGCGACAGTCGCATTCACTAACAAACCTGTTCCTACAAAGAGAAAGAAAAAGTAAAAAATAGGAAGAGAGAGAAATAAACTAAGTCATGTAGTGATCCACTGAGCAGTTGCATGTTTTAATATAGAAAAGAGAACTTGGTAGTACTTTTCATTTAATGTGAATTGGTTCCTGCTGGTTGACTTTGGCTTCATGTTGCTGTTCACTCTTCACGCTTATTTTGATTGGATGAAATATCAGGTCAGCAGACAATTCACATTCCTTGCTCTTGTAGCCATCATACACGCCCAGCAGCATACAGATATTTCCTGTAAACTAGGTTCTTCCAGACAATTTGTGCCTCCCTTTGCTATTAATATAAAATGAAGAAGGATTTTTCCAGTTCCTCTCCAAAATTAAATATCTATCTGGTTAAATAGGATCTATCTATCCGTCCATTCAATTTTGATTAAATCTTGTTTTTTTGTCATCTTTTTTGTGTGATTTCTGATTGATCATGTGACCCATTTCACAGGTGCAGAAGAAAAGATGAATGTGGAATTGATCATGCCTATCGGTGCCGTGGTCATCGCCATGTTCCTCTGGCTCCTCATCGTCTTCGTTATCCGTAACAGGAAGCGGGTAACAATCCATCTCTTTCCCTTTTCCTCGTTTGCTTCCCCTCTCTCATTTACACGCACAGTCGCACACTCCACTCTCCTGACTGATCAGAACTGACTACCCGGACTTGGCGTACCTCATCTCTATTGTATGCTCAGCCCACATTCTGCTGCGATGTGCCAGCCGTGGGCCCTAGTCCTGCTGTACCCCAGCCTTAGTTCTGCCTCTGAGTATCATAGTGGCTTCCAGTAAGTCTTTATAATGAGGGCTTGATTCTGGGAGACTCAAGCAGGACAAAGTTGAAGGTCTTGCTCTGTGTTTATCATTCAGTCATGCTCTTTCTCTCCTTTTGACTCTTATCCCATTTTGTCATACACTCAACCGTTCCATCTTTTCTTCTTCTCTCTCACAGCCTAATGATGGAGATCTGAAAACTGGCTACCTGTCAATCATTCTGGACTCAGATGATATGCCAATGGATGAGCACTGTGAAAGACTGACCTATGATGCAAACAAGTGGGAATTCCCACGTGATAGACTGAAGCTAGGTGAGACTTGGCTAAATGTGAGAAATAAAACAACATTAATAATAATAAAAAAAAAGCCTAAATACTCAGGGGTTAAATTAACCAGGAACAATCTGGAATGGCTTTACAGTACTTTTGATTAAAAAAAATAAACATTAAGTGCAAGAATTGTACCACTGGACCAAAGTATACTATGTAATAGTATGTAATATGACATTTATTAATTAATTAGAAAATCATGTTGCGTATAATAATGGCCACAGACTCTGATTTTCTACCTCCAGACTATGATTCATTTCACACGGAGCATATCAATCATGTTTGATATTTTGGGATGATTTTAGACTGCATATTGTTTTCATTTGTTACGTGTCTTTTACTAATGAGGCGAATGTTTTCTACATGAGTTTGTTGGTAGTAGTGTGTGATTCTCAGTTGATTAGTGTGTGATGATGGTGTGTTTGAAATGATAGTGTGTCTGTAACCATTTAGAAAATGTATAATGCTTAGTGTTTTAAAATCTGCTCCGACTTATAAAAGTAATATGATGTATTCCATCCTTAAGTTTTCTGCTGAACTCTGAACTCAACTCTTTTTGTTTGACCACAATTCTCAGTCTTGAGAAAACACTTCATTTATTGTTTAGTTATGCTGAATCTCGGAAGTAAAATCAGTTTAGATCTGGGTTCCAGCAGTGGAAACAAAACCAGTGATGTCAATATAGTCTTACAGTGCTGCTGTTACTGCATGCACACAAATATTAATTAACTTTGGCAAAGTTGTAATAGGCAATTGTTACTTTAAGAATCTATGTCTACTTGATATGGCCCTTAAAATTAATTATTTATTGATATTAAATTATATTTGTTGACTTGAGTAAAACCAGTTCATTTAGATGTTATGAAAAGCACGTTAGTTAGGCTACCTGACAAAGCATTTTTACAGTGACAGTAATACTCATGCTATTCTGTTGTAAGGTGTGATTCTGAAACAGTCAAATCGTGTCTTAACCGTCCAACGGGTGAAAAAAGAGGACAGTGGTCTTTACATGTGTATGGCCTGTAACCAGCAGGGCTGTGACTCTCATGAGGCTCGTATTACTGTAGAAGGTGAGTGTGTAAACAAAGCTTTGCTTTATTTTTTTTATTTTATTTTATTGGTTTGTAGAATTAAAGAAAGGGTAGTAAGGACACAAAAAATATTTCTGTGAAGTTATGCAATACATTAATATAATTTGTTTTTGAAAAAAAATTATCTTATGCTTTCCAAGACCTTCATTTATTTGATCAAAACAATACAGTAAAAACAGTAGTATTGTGAAATACTATTACAATTAAAAAGAACTGTTTTCTATTTTAATATATTTTCAAATGTAATTTATTCGTGTGATTGCAAATCTGAATTTTCAGCAGCAATTACTCCAGTCTTCAGTGTCATATGATCCTTCACAAATCATTCTAATATGCTGATTTGGTGCTCAAGTGACATTATTATCAATGCTGAAAACAAAAGAACAGCATTTATTTAAAATATAAATATTTTGTAAATGTCTTTACTGTCACTTTTGATCAATTTAATGTGCCTTTGCTCAATATTCATTTCTAAAAAAAACAACAAAAAAAACACTGACCCCATTTGAATGGTACTGAACTTTTGAATGATAGTCTGTTACCAAAAGATGGCAGGTAGATTCATAGTAGATTGTCAGTTATGAATCGACATGCAAAACATCACATAGTAGCCACACTTTTAAAGACCCCATTTTAAGAAGAGACATTCTCTGAACATGTCATGATTGTGAGGCGAGCTCAGTCTTCCACTGACTTTTATCCTCATTGAGATTTTGTTGTAATCAAGGCCTTGTGGCAATAATAGCTCTCTTTTTAGTCTGTCAGGAAGGGGGCTCTGTTAGTGTACATCCTTTAGGGAGTGCTAAAAGAAAACAAAGCAAAATCCCAGAACAACCCTCTATATCACTCTCTGTCACATTTTTCCCAGTGACTTACATCTTTGTATGGTTCCGCCTCTTTCCTCACACACATAAAGGACAGAGAGTGCAAAGGACCACAAATAACAGAGACATACTCATTGTGTATGTGACTCATTTTTCTGCATCACTGTTTCTTGTTGTCACTGCAAAGGCGACTGTCAGGCGACAGTCGCATTCACTAACAAACCTGTTCCTACAAAGAGAAAGAAAAAGTAAAAAATAGGAAGAGAGAGAAATAAACTAAGTCATGTAGTGATCCACTGAGCAGTTGCATGTTTTAATATAGAAAAGAGAACTTGGTAGTACTTTTCATTTAATGTGAATTGGTTCCTGCTGGTTGACTTTGGCTTCATGTTGCTGTTCACTCTTCACGCTTATTTTGATTGGATGAAATATCAGGTCAGCAGACAATTCACATTCCTTGCTCTTGTAGCCATCATACACGCCCAGCAGCATACAGATATTTCCTGTAAACTAGGTTCTTCCAGACAATTTGTGCCTCCCTTTGCTATTAATATAAAATGAAGAAGGATTTTTCCAGTTCCTCTCCAAAATTAAATATCTATCTGGTTAAATAGGATCTATCTATCTGTCCATTCAATTTTGGTTAAATCTTGTTTTTTTGTCATCTTTTTTGTGTGATTTCTGATTGATCATGTGACCCATTTCACAGGTGCAGAAGAAAAGATGAATGTGGAATTGATCATGCCTATCGGTGCCGTGGTCATCGCCATGTTCCTCTGGCTCCTCATCGTCTTCGTTATCCGTAACAGGAAGCGGGTAACAATCCATCTCTTTCCCTTTTCCTCGTTTGCTTCCCCTCTCTCATTTACACGCACAGTCGCACACTCCACTCTCCTGACTGATCAGAACTGACTACCCGGACTTGGCGTACCTCATCTCTATTGTATGCTCAGCCCACATTCTGCTGCGATGTGCCAGCCGTGGGCCCTAGTCCTGCTGTACCCCAGCCTTAATTCTGCCTCTGAGTATCATAGTGGCTTCCAGTAAGTCTTTATAATGAGGGCTTGATTCTGGGAGACTCAAGCAGGACAAAGTTGAAGGTCTTGCTCTGTGTTTGTCATTCAGTCATGCTCTTTCTCTCCTTTTGACTCTTATCCCATTTTGTCATACACTCAACCGTTCCATCTTTTCTTCTTCTCTCTCACAGCCTAATGATGGAGATCTGAAAACTGGCTACCTGTCAATCATTCTGGACTCAGATGATATGCCAATGGATGAGCACTGTGAAAGACTGACCTATGATGCAAACAAGTGGGAATTCCCACGTGATAGACTGAAGCTAGGTGAGACTTGGCTAAATGTGAGAAATAAAACAACATTAATAATAATAAAAAAAAAGCCTAAATACTCAGGGGTTAAATTAACCAGGAACAATCTGGAATGGCTTTACAGTACTTTTGATTAAAAAAAATAAACATTAAGTGCAAGAATTGTACCACTGGACCAAAGTATACTATGTAATAGTATGTAATATGACATTTATTAATTAATTAATTAATTTATTTATTTACTAGGCTTCAGTGATATTTTTATATTTATCTGTATTTATCTGTGTAATATTATTTATTGATTTATTTAGCTAGATATTTTGGTATCTTTACATTTATATATTTATTTATTTGTATATGTGTGTATTCATTTATTTATTTATTTACTAGGCTTCAGTGATATTTTTATATTTATCTGTATTTATCTGTGTAATATTATTTATTTATTTATTTAGCTAGATATTTTGGTATCTTTACATTTATATATTTATTTATTTGTATATGTGTGTATTTAATTTAGAATGATCATTTTGTTATTTTTCTTTGCTTTCTAATATGAGCAAATATATGCATTTAGTACCATCATAACAGGGTGTTAAAATGTTATGGAACATATTATTCATCTTTTTTCTTCTTGGGGATGGAGAGCTGAGCATATCAAAACTTGCCTAGAATCACCATCAGATTTTAGGCTTCAGACAAGTCCCAATTTATCCTCTGCAAACAGCAAAAATATTTGTACAAAATGTTACTATAAATCTACATGCAAGTGTTCACAAATGTCTAATACTATGTTTTCCAGGAGAGCCGCTGGGCAGAGGGGCATTTGGCCAAGTTGTGGAGGCGACCGCATATGGTATTGAGAAGGCCACCACCTGTACTACAGTAGCAGTGAAGATGCTCAAGGGTATGAGGCATCTGTTCACTGGCCTTAAACTGACTTCACCTATCTTTCATATAACACTACTGACTGCAGCATTATCAATCTCCAACAGAGGGCGCTACCACCAGTGAGTATCGTGCTCTGATGTCTGAGCTGAAGATCCTCATCCATATCGGTCACCATCTCAATGTGGTTAACCTTCTAGGTGCTTGCACCAAACCAGGAGGTGAGTGTCCTTTTAAAACTTTGACAGAAATGACTTCTGTAGTCCTTTCTGTGAAGTTTGCTGCAGACAGGTTCTTCATGTGTGTGAATATTCATAGCAAGAAATGTGTCAGAAATGCCACAAAGTGGTTGTGCATTGTTGAGAAGAACACAGTGTGCCTACATTAAAGGCCTTTCCTCTTCTTCCACTCTCTGTTTCCTACTTCAGGACCCTTGATGGTGATTGTTGAGTACTGTAAACACGGTAATCTCTCAAGCTATTTAAAAAGCAAGCGAGGAGAGTACAGTCCCTTCAAGGTAAATTCCATCATAACCTAGTGCTACTAGTAAAGTCAGGCTGTGATGTGGTTTTGAAGATCTCAGCTCCTTTTTTAACAATGTCCTCTGATGTGGTCAGATTGATTCAAGTGCCTTACGTAAGACATTGGGAAACTGTCAACTGTAAGGCCTTTAAATGTTGTTCAAGGTTAAAAGTGTTATGAAGTGTACCTGACATATTGGCACTTCTTGACCCTGACAGCAACATAAACTGATCCACGTGTGTTTTGTTTCTCAGAAGCGAATGTCACTGATGCCGTGCGGGAGGGAGGTACAGCAGGAAGAGGATTTGCATGAGGGGGATCAGGGTCTGGGAATCAGCACTCGGCTGGACATCTGCACCGGCACCGCTGTGTGCACCAGGATGGGAGAACAGACCTCCACGACCCAGCTGCAGGATGAACAAGGTACAGTATATTAGTCTGTTGGATACTCTGTACTGTCTCTGGACGAAGACAAAAATGGCACATTTAACAATGTTATGGAAACTGAATCAAATGTTTAAGTTTAGTTCATTCAGATGTTACCACATGAAGCATATATTTTAGGTCATGAAATACACTTGGGAAGTTGACATGTCTTGTGCTGTGTCAACTCCATCTAAATGCTATACTCCATCTAAAACTTATTTAGATGAATAAATAAATAAACAAATAAACAGCATAATTATTTTATTATTGATACTAATTATTCAAATGATTAAGCAGCTTTAATGAGCTCATTATTTAAGAACCTACAGCATTTAAGAATTTGTCACATTGTAAATTAATAAATGAAACATTTGTATTTTTATAATAAAAACTGCAAAACATAAAATAAATAAATAGATAAATGAATAAACAAACAATATTATAATTTTATCAATAATAATAATTATTTGCATTATTAGGCAGCTTTAATGAGCTCATATTTGAGAAAATAGATGGAATAGTTGTAAAAAAAAATTTGTCGCACTAAAAATGAATAAAAAGTTCAAATAAAATTAATTAAACCGCATAAGCTTTAATAAGCTCATATTATTTGAAAAAAATATATAATATTTGTACTTTTAAATACAAATTTGTCACACTGTAAATTAATTTAAAAAATATATATATAA